GACAGCTGTGTGGCTGCTTGCTAATTCCTTTTCCCTCTGAAACATGGCAGCACTCATTCTGGCCGTGAACAGCTCCATCTGCTACCACCCCATCTCCCCCTGAACCTACAAGGCTCAGACGACTCTGCACTCAGACTGCCCAGGTGTACCCTAGTGCTGAGGGGGCCAGACAGGAAAGAGGAGGAGAGAGCAGGATGCATGGTGGCGAGAGCTGTTACAACAGGACGGTACGGGATCACTCACACAGTGGACAGACCACCCCAACCAGTGGACCCAACAGGGCCCAAGAAAACAGCTGGCTGATCTGTGCATCACTCTAATGTAACTTTGCAAAGTTGCCTGCGGCCATTATGCTACACATGAAACTCCTGTTAAAGGTTGGGAAGGGGAGTAAACCCTTCCAGGAAAATCACCATGGGTTCCTGGAATACTCTACCACGAAACATCCAGGAATCTTCCCACTCTTTAGTTTGGCCCTAAGGTGAGCTATCCAAATTCCAGGTGACTCCCTTAAGAACTCCACATTCCCTCGAGTGCCCTCACACTCTGTAATAAAACTTGCCAATATTTTTGCCTTCTCTCATCTCTGCATTCTTTCTGTGATGATAAGAACCTGAAAACACTGGGAAGAACTACCAGGCTGCTGTCCCTGAAAGGTCCCCAGCCACAATCTGCAGGTGACAATGGCACTGGATGAGAAGGAGTCAAGCCAGCAGGCATTCCATACTGACTGGTAACTGAAGGGGGGGTTAAGCTTGAAAGCCTGCAAAGGGAATAGTGTGCTCCCAGATTGACTGATGTAAGGTTCAGCCGGGCAGCATGGATGGGATTGTATTCACAGACCACGATGCCGATAGCAAGATAGCAAAATCCGTGCTTCCCCTCAACAGCCACAAGTACAGAACTGAGACTTCCTATCTGGTTAGTTAGCTGGTTCCACATTCAGCTGTAAGTGGCTTGTTCTCCGTATTGGTCCTTCTCTTCCTGACAACCACCATGACACCAGTGGGAATCCTCTTCACTGAGAACAGCATGTTTTGACATGCAAGCCCCAGGGAAAGCTACAAAATGTTTGCGTCAGCCCGTCTTCCACGGGTCTCAACGGAGGGGGTCGGAAGCAGGGTATAAAACATGAAGGCAACAGCCAGGCACCATAGCGTTTTATGGCAAACTGAAGAGGTATGGGCTTGCACAGGCCGGTTAACATTTCAGAAGACATGCTGGCGCAGGACAGCCCACAGGTGGACTGGAAGACAGCACGAGCTGTCTCAGGGGCTTGGGAAGGAGTGGAGATGGCCTTTTTTTCCAGGTGGAATTCAAGAAAACCATAGCAAAGAGTGAGGCTCAAAGCATTTCATGTGGAATCTCTACTCTTAGTTACACCTGAGAGAGGAGAGGACTCCTGCCTTCAACTGAGGAGACTACGGGAAGACAGCTGTCTGGCTCTTTACAGCTTGGTGCCAAACTGCTTCCATAAGAGGACAGTATAGCAGGAAAATGTTGTAATAATGAAATGTCTGCAGATTAAGAATCATGAATGCTTCCTTAGCTGGCTGAACCCAATTCACTAACAGCAAGCAGGAACTCACAGTTTAAAAAAAAAAAAAAGTGAGCTCAAAGAATAAATAGGCAGAGCTCTTCCTAGAATAAACCGAGGTCCTTGCGGGGTCACAGGCAAGGGAGCCTGAAGTGGCCTGGACTAAGGGTCTTGTGTTGAGGGGAAGAAAAGACTTGTTTTCATTGCCTGGCTCATGGGCACAGAGAGAGGATCTGAGATCCTGAAAACCCCAACACAGCACAACAGCCCATTATGTCACTGGGGTTTTGTTTTAGGAGGACAAAGAGGCAAGTTAGGACCAGAGCCTGCTGGGAAAGCGCCCATGCTGCGTTTTTCCTCTTCTGAGAGTTTAGGCACCATCTCAATGCACCAAGATTTTTTTTTCTTCTGTCATATTAGTAGCTGTTAATTTTCGATCTTTAACTAATTTCTTTTATTTTACAGCCGCCTTAAGAGAAAAATGCTCATAACTAAAAGTCATGAAGAAAATGGCCTTTTGAAAAGTAAAGACAATTAGATGATGGTGGTACTCAAACCCAGACAAGCAGTGTCACCAAACCCTACCGCAGACTCTGGGCCTGTCTTTACACTCCCAGACACAGCAAACCCACACCAGGGGGTGTGCACGCTAAGGCGAGCTTGCTGCATCTGATGCAGGAATCAAGCAGTCCTCTTCAGACTATTAATGGGATCAGATGCTGAAGGTCACCACCAGTCAGCAAACACTCCTGAGTGTTTGAACTCACACTTACAGCTCCCGTGACAGGCAGTGGCTCTATAGTAACCATTGCCATGGTTAGGCCTCTGTGCACAAACACTGCCTGGGTTTCCGTGGTTTCTCTGACTCTGAGCCAGCCAGTGCGTTTGGATCTGGACCGTTCCCAGTCTTAGCCAGGAGAGGACTGATGGGAAAAGAGAGCCCTGAGAATGTACACATCTAGGATTATCTTTATATGAAGTCAGGCTATTACTTTATTAGTGTGAATTAGGGAAAATCTGGCTCCCTCAAAAATACCTTTTTAGATGAAAAAACAATCCGTTTGAAGCAGCCAAATTGTTACAGCTAAACTTTAAGCAACTAGAGTGCCAGTGTGGAAAAGTGCTGAGCAGTTAATAAGCACCAACTACAAAACACAGGCCCAAGACGCCGTCCTCACTGTGCCAATACAGTCAGCTCTGTTCTGGGCCCGAGTCCCTTGAACTTTCAAATAGCTACAGATGAGCCAATGAGAAAAACAAGGAGGGGGACACCTCGCTCAGCGAATGGCTGTTCCTCAGTCTCATTCCCTGGACTCACGCTGTCCTTCACTGCTGCTGTTTTCTGTACTTTCACATCCTGGGGTGGGCGGTGCCCATTCTAGAATCTTACGCATGGAGAAAGAAGTGTCATTGGCTATATTAAAAAAAAGTCCGCTGCCACCCTAGAGAGACAAAGACTCGACAAAATGCTACTGCCTCTCTGGACCAAATTGCCACTTAAAATTAATTTCATTATGAAAAATTTTAAAGTCAATTAGTACTATAAAACCCCAAATATATACCCACCTGTCTCAGCAGTAGCATTTTACCATTATTTAAGAAATTTCTTCCAGCTCTGGAGAGGTGGCTCAGAGGTTAAGAGTGCTGGCTGTACTTCCAAGGGTCCTGAGTTCAATTCCCAGCAACCACATGATGGCTCATAACCATCTATAGTGATATCTGGTGCCTTCTTCTGGCCTGCAGGCACACAAGCAGGCAGAATACCGTATAATTAAGTTCTGCACTCAGGAGGCAGATGGAGATCTTGAGTCCAGGCCAGCCAGGGATTACACAGTGAGGCCCGGGGTCAAAACTTTACCAAAAAAGACAAAAGGAGGGACCATTTCTTTCTCCCACCTATGGCTATGCACCAACATGCTGCAGCTAACCCTTTTAAAAGCAAACTTCATGAACTTTCCACTTGAAGTGTTCTAATAGTAATATTATATGTTAATAACTACAATAATGTTATTCTAATAATGTTATTCCTTACAGTGGCAGAGCTAAAAATTGAATGCAAAACCTCTCACAGCATCAACCATATTCCAAAGGCTCAGCCATTCTCCCAATGCTTCATAGTGCTGTTTGTGTTTTTAAGCTACGGACTACAAGGTAAACAAAATTGCATGTGTGCCTTTCCCGGGAGTTCGGTGTCTAGCCATGGTAAGTACATATTTCTCAAGGCAAGTTATAATTACCTGTCCCACGCTCTAGGTACTTTCAGCAGGTAAAAGCATTTGCTGCCAACCTGATGACCTGAGTTTGATTCCCAGAATGCACATGGTGGAAGGAAAGAAAGGACTCCTGCAAGTTGTCCACTTGCTCCACTCATGCTGCGATGGTGATGTGTCCACACACAAAAATAATAGGTCAGTGTTCAAATGTTCCTCACCCAAAACTTGTTCCCAAAACTTCATTATTTCCCATCATTTCTAGGAAGCTCAGCTGGACTGTTTTCCTCCTTCCCTCTCTCACTGGAGTCTCACTCACTGGAGGCTCACTGGCTACCTAGCCTGCAGCAGTTTAGCAAGCCAGTTTCTTCAGTGTACAATTCTATTTTGATGTGAGAAAAGTGTCCCCTTCACTGTCCTGAGGCACAGCCCCAGACCCCTCAGACCTCGCTTATCCTGTATCTTCTGGACAGCTGATCCCTTCCCAACAGGAACACTCACAAAGGGACTCCTGCTGGTTCAAGGATCCTTTCACTCTCTACATTCTGGCATAAAAGATATACTCACTTCCTACATTTGCTTCTGGAGGTAGAAATAGGCACATTTACTCTAGAAAGCAAGCCAGCAATACAGAACCATCTTTAAAGTGAGTATGCATGCTGAGGGCCCATCTTCTCTTCTGGAAACAAACCCTACAGGTAACAGAGCTGGTTAAAGGATATCACTAACAGCCTGGCAAGTAACACAGCTAACGTCAGGCCTGCCAAGTGATTTCCTGCAGATAGCAAAGGGGTTGCTAGCGTCCATTGGTTGGTCCTGTCTGTCTACAGGTGCCAGGAAGAGGCTGCAGTGAGCACAGCATTGTCCGGCCTGAGGGCGCTCTTCTCTTACTTCTCCCGCATATGTGCCC